TTAGTATTTTTTAGATCATCAATTCAAATCAATCCAAACCTGATCAGAACCGCTCATCCAACGATCCAACACATATTGTGGGTAAAGGATCTGTCCGATCGATCCAAGTTCTAAGACTATGCAAAAATATTTCTTTGCCACATCATCTCGTACGAAAAGATTCCCACACTCATTTGCTAATGGCTATCAGGGGTTATGGCTATGTAGTAGGAAGTGCGAGACATTGAACTTGAAGCTGGAAGCCTTTCTCCAATGGCACTCGATCACTCTCTCCCATTTTTTGGTTGAGAGGCCATATTTCAAGCACCCCATCTTCTTTGTATCCATGAAACAAACACACAGGCTCTCCGCAACCCACCAACTTGAATGAGTTCTGAGGTTCATTCAAGACTTCTGATAGCAATGCAATGCTTCCCCATATTCCTAAAAAGCTGTACACAGAAACATGTCGACACTCATTAAACAACACAAAGATGCAGTGCCGTCGACTCTTTTCCATCCTTGCAACGAGGAAGAGCTAAACATCCAATACTCTTGTGGTATCGGCCTTTCTTTCTTCAATCTTGGCACTAGAACCAATATCTTGAAATGTGGTTGATGGGATCGAAGTAGGACCCCAAGAAACTTGGAAACCAGAGTAAGGAAGGGACGATAGCATGATCACAAGTGGCAAGGTCGTAGATGACAATCAAAAAGGGGTGTTGCGAGGAAAATAAGCATACCAGCCTATGGCTGGTTGTAAATAAAGTACTATCTTGTAGTAAGGATATTTTTTCCATCGAATGAGTAATGATGATGATGATGATAATCCAGTGTCCAGTTTTAGGTCAGAGGGGAGAAGAGGAATACAGGGACAATGTCAAAAGGCTCAAATGACAAAGGGGGCATGACAAAATGAATTTGAGCAAAATCTAGAGTTCAAGGTAGTTGGAATGCATAACCATTGCGATGACTAGGTCTATAATTTAAACGTACTCATTTCATCAAATAGAACATCCGATATGAAAACATAACATAGAAACTATGTATCCCCAGTTCTATCTTATGCATTCAATTTTTTAAAACATAACATAGAAGCTATGTATCCCCAGTTCTACCTTGAACCCTAGTGCATTTTTGTTATCATATCCTATGACCTCCTACTATTTTCCTTTGCATTAAATCCTAAGTGAATATTCTTTAACAGAAAAAATTTTAAGAGAAAATTCCGTATAGAACCCTAATTCCTCATGGTAGACTCTTCTTATGTTTTCTTTCAAGCAGCATAAAGAAATAAGCTAATTTTTATGATCAAAAGTCATTAAAAGAGCGAGATAATAGATGGAGTGGTGAAATCTTTAGGAATTTTCTTATGCCGTCCTAATTCCTCATGGTAGACTCTCTTTCCGTTTTTCTTTCAAGCTGCATAAGGAAATGAGCTAATTTTTATGATCAAAAGTCAATAAAAGAGTGAGATAAGAAATGAAGGGGTATGGTGAAATTTTTAAAGGTTTTTTTATGCCGCTTGAATGAAAAACGGAAAGAGGGGGTTCTATACGAAATTTTTCCAAATTTATTTTAAATTTAAAAGTGATGAACCAAACTCAAGACAAAAATTTAAGCGGCACTCATAATGCTAAACTGATCTCGGGAAAGAGTTTTGAGCCGACGTTAGTCTGGCATATCAAGTGCCTAATCGAGCTCAACTTCTACTAAATGCAATGAACCAACATCGTTCAACAAAAAAACAAAAATTAAAAGCTTTAAAATTAAAGGTTAATGTGTTTGATTGTAGGGTATTTTTGTCCAAAATGACCCGACAAAAGTCCACCTAGGAAGTTCACTACAAACTAACAAAATAAACACTACACGTATGGAAACTTCAATGTAGGGTGGTTTTATGTAAGGGAAAAGTTTATACAAGGTTGCAACCTTAAGATGTATACTCACAGTTGCAACTAAAAAATATATTAGAAATGTTGTTTTAATATTGACAAACCCTCTAATTGATCATCTCGACAACAAGATGTAAAAATATGAAAAACAAAAAGTTTTTTGCGCTCCAAAAATGGTGCATCTTGCAACACATTATCTAGACCGTCCATTTTCAAGATTTTCTTTTATTTATAGATCTACTTGATTTTAACCATTTTGGAATTTAATGTTCTCTAATTAGATATGAAAATAGATTTCAAGATAGTCCTAAGAATTTTTTACATCAAAATTATATGTTATGATAAAATTTGGAGGTGCGCTTTAATTGGATTGTTTAAGGCTGCAACCTTATAGAAACCACACCCTTTATGTAATTTTCCCTAAAAACTATCTTAGAAACACTCTTGCATTACCTTGCGGGACTCTTACTCATCGAGATATTGCAATTACTAACGATTGGCTTTTTTTCTTTCTTTCTTTCTTTTTTTGGGTAATTCTGGAGATGACGAGCCCCTACTTATTTTTTAAATCATTAGTGGTAATGGAAGCCTAAATCTTAACTAGAGCACAAGTAATGCTTCCACCACGATGCCAACCCTATTCTCAATGACTGGCTTTCTTCTTTATGCAAAAGTAGGGACTCGAGGAAAGAAAATGGAAGGCCAGGTTTTCTCTTTCCAGTTTTTTGTCTTTCAAATAAGCCTAATTCTAAAACTTAACGGGATGGAACTTTTGGGTTCCACCTAACATCTCCCTCCCACGTTATATGGAATTGCAGCACTTGACGCTCATTTAAAAATGTCACAAGACGTTTTAGAATGCCACCTCTTGCATGATAAAGAATGGAAGCCATGGCTTCCATTATTTGTTCCACCAATCAACCACGACCTAAAGGAAACAAATGGGGACAATTTTGAAAATTGAATTATAATATACATATTGAAAGAGAGACCTACGTGATCTTTTACTAGAGAATATATTTTTTTTTTCATCCCTTTTTTTTGACAAAAGATCACTTACATGTCGTCGGTCTTTATTATAATAAGATAAATTTCAAAATAAAATCAGCATAACAATAAAACCAAGATCTTAACAATTTGATGCCATCGAAACAACTATACACAATGCTTGAGAATAAAAGATAAGATTGCAATAACAAAAGTAAAAATGCCGAAGATTACCTCAACCGAGCTTATTACACCCCACACCAACTCACCACCATCCGATGGCGCGTGATCAACGGTCTAGCTTCAATCTCGAATCGGGAAAGCAAATTTCGGCCAATCCACACCAAAGGAATATGAACCTCTTTGATTACAAATTCAAATCTTAGGTGAATTCTCTTATCAACCTAGTTTGAGAGAGATGGACACTCTTTTTACTTAACCCTAAAACCCATAGTCATAAATCCATATTTGAGAGATAGGAGAGAAGAACGTCACAACCTAAACCATTAGGTTATTTCACAATGTGGGAGAGAGAGATCAAACATGAGAGGGATAAACTTTCTTAAGAGAGAGAAATAGAAAGATAAGGTGTATAGATTTTTTGGTAGAGATAATCCATTTTAATATGCTTTGAATAAGATTAAGGTTTCTTAGAGTTTTTTTTAGCTTGCATCTTCTTGTGAGATTGAACATAGACCATCGATCAAGGGTGACTTGTGGGGTGAGCGATCTGAACCATCCATTCTATAGATGGGTCATCAACATTATGGAAGGTGCATTAATCATTATCCCTCTTTTTTAAACCATTTTCTTATCAATAGAAATTAAATAATTTAAATATAATCAAAATATTGTACATATTATAAAATAGCACAAGTCTACTCAATCTTTCCACAAAATCTTTCAAAGATATATCAACTCAATATTTAGTCAACATCTTCCAACCATATAGCAACATGCCCAAGGGAGGCACTCATGGGCCCCACCTTCTAGAAATATGGCGGGCCCATGTGTACAATGGGCCCCCATGATATTTTTATATATTTAAAATTAATAAAAAGATTTTAGAATATTATTTGAATATTTAAACAATTGTAAAATCAATATCTTTAATTTTACAAATCTAAAAATTAAAAACAAAATACACAAGGGTTCATAAAAATTCAAATAGTAATCCTAAAATAATTTACATTATAAAACAAATACAATTAAATTAATTTGATAGGAAAATGATCCATATGGTTTAAGAATCAACAATCATCGGGCACTCCACTTTCAACTGTGGAACTCCACTTTCAACTGTGCACTACAAACCACACTTGCTTTATCAGACCGACACAGTATTTCCCATAACCCACAATCCAAGTAAGGGCTCATTAACGGGTCACCAAAGTCCGACCGATGAGCTAGGGGATCGCAATCCCAGTCTGTGGATTTCAGGTCCGCCCCTAGAGACGAGTCAAGGTCAGCTAGACCTGATGCGACCAGACCTCATATCATGCATAGGGGTATCTCTCGCACATGCATACGCTTCACCCTAAAAAGTGGATTTCTAGCTTTCCCGAACGAACTATCGATATGCATACCGTGTGATGACACATAGATGAGGCTTTGGCCCCCGTCTCTATAGGTCATCATCACACACATCACAAAGTTCCTCAGCTTACTCATCCGGGCATATTCTCCGACCTCATCAAGGGCAAACCCATTAGAACCCTTCTCGATTTGTTTTTTATGCCCAGGTAACATGAGTTTTCCCAACCGACTGGCTTAAATTGTCAAGCACAGTCTGATATCTGCAAACATCATGTGCTTAGTATGGTCCACGAGAGACCACACTCCCACTGAATTCATATTCCACTATATCATTTCATTTTACAAGCACTCATAAGGCCTTTAAAGGCCACATGAACCCAACTTCTCCCACTTGGCTTTTGAAGGCTTTACATTCTATCTTTCTCACATTCTCATCTCTCTCTCCCAATTACAATTCCTCTCAAGCATTTTTACTTATTCTCTCAATACATTAATCATGGTTTTCACCATCAATCCTTTCACAAAATGATTTATAGATGCAACACATTTTTCTCTTTACGGCTCAAATCTCATTTAAAAAATGATCATAACTCATCTTTCACATCGCATCGTGAATCATAGACTTATTATCACAAAAGACAATCATGTACCCACGTCGCATGGGGTCGTATGTTCATAGGCTCAAAAGAGTTCTTCAAATAAGCTACTCCCTTTTGTAACCATACAACCACCACCAAACATTTGGGTTCCATGAGTGAACAACATTATAATCTGTTGATCCATTTGGCATGCCAAATACTAGCAGGTGCTACCATTAGCATATTTAGTTTATCTGGATCTCGATATTTCTCAATCTCACATCATTCCTCAAGTGATAAAAAATATGGTTTTACATGTTCGAAGTTCTTATGGCATTATGACTCCTTTGACACGCATATCGTCACCGTGCTATCGCAAAAAAAATTTACTGCCTCACAGCGCACGAGGTGAAAGTCAAGTTGATTAAGAAATTTTTTAATCCATACAACCTCCTCGATCACCAAACAGCACACCACGTGATCTGCCTTCATGGTGGATAATTTCGTCACATTTTTGTCTTTGATTTCTAAGAAACTGCACCCCCTCCAAGCATAAACATATATCCAGATGTAGACTTCGCATCATCTCGATCTGTGAGATAGCTTGCACCTGTATATCTGAATACCCAAGCAGTTAAAAAAACACGGGACTGTAGCAGCTCCTACTCAATTATTGCACATAC